ATTCATCAATCCTAATACAATTAATATTATAAAATTAATATATTATCCCAATCATATTTACTATCTATAATCATGCTCTTATAGATTCATATGTAGTGTCTTTTCTTAATTAGCTCAATTTATTTTCATAGTAAATTTTAATTATACAATTAAAATAGTTTAGTATTATTAATATTTTATTGTTGAAAAATTATGTAGAGATGCTCTTAGAGCCTTCTGAAAAACTCACATCCATGATATGCAAAAAAAAATTCCGCACTATATGAAAATTGAACTGACATCTTATCTAGATGCACTACTCTTTTAATCTAACACTTGCAAATGTGTATATATGGTTACATATCATAAATTGAATTTGATGGTTAGTAGGTCATGCATCCGTCATGCTAGAACAACCAAGGACAATAATAGAATTGAACAAGGGTCTTGACTATTCCATACAAAATGAGTAGATTTTTTTTTTTGTGTTTTTAACTTTTTCATACGTTTATAAAAAAAATGAGGAAGAAAAGTCAGAGATGAGGAAGGGAAGATGGGTAAAGAGTCCGGCGATATAATGAGATGAATTCATACAACAAGTTGGCTCAATTTCAGATTCATACACAAACACACTTCTCCTTCTATAGACATTGATAGAGTGATGGAGAGAGCCTTTGTCTGTTTTGTTGTTTTTTCTACTTAAAGTCAACCAAGTCTCCTCTTGGTCCCATATTACTCTTTGTTTTGGGCATTTTGGTAATTAATAAGTAGTTTCGGAAGAATAAAACATATATTTGTTTTTCATAACCATAACAATCAAAACTAAAATATATGTATTCACATTTTTAAAGTAAAATTCAGTATTTTAAGTGATAATGTTTTGGAAATATTGATAGTTTTTTTTTTTTTGAACAATAATATTCTTTCAAAAATTAAGGCAAATATCAATAAAACCAAGATCAATGTAGGTCCTTCAGTCGGCTGTTACCTACCGTTTTCCTTCATTGCAACTCATATCTTTGATCTCCAGTTGCAAGTTGCCTCCAAGACAATGTGTGACGTTGTTTCCTTTTTTTGGTTTTTCTCCTTATAACTTTTTTTTTTTGCCTACCGACCATTCCGTTTCTTTTATTTAATTTATTCACCAAAATTTGTGTTTGATATATTTCCAATCTGTCATGATTATTTCTTTAGTTTTCCCTCGATTAATTATCGAAACAACCATCCAATTTAACATATTTACATACCATCAATCACAGTTTTGGTGGAGGGATCTAAATTCAAATAGGTTATGAATGGTTAATCCAAAACAAGTGGAGACAAAATGAAAAAAAAAAAGAAAATTTAGTTTTCCCTTTTTAAATGAAATATCTGCAAACAATCCAATAATATGTGTCTATGTGACATCTAACAAATTTAACAATATTCCCAATTTTTAATATCACCATTACATATTTAAAAATTAAAAGAATACCAAATTGCAGTTTTTATGCCATCTGTAAACCCTATGCATGAATGGGTCTCACGTTCTTTGCCGTTAATTTTCACTTAGACAAATCGTTGATGTTTCTTCTGATTAAATTTA